TTCGGATTCTGTGTCTCCCTCATTCTCTGCCCCTCCCCTGCTCACATGCAGTCTCTCTCTCTCAAAAATAAATAAACATTTAAAAAAATACTACTTAAATTGTTTACAAATAGCAATTGAATTGTTGGTTACTATTATCATAAAATATAATCATTAATATTACAACTCACTACAAATTATTGTTATTGATGTAAATTCTGAGTACCAATGTTACGAATCAAATTATGGTTCCTAATGGAAATTGAATAATCATTACTAGTGCCATCAGAGATTATAACTATTATTATAAATTATTGTCATATTAGAAGTTATGCTCTAATATAAATTATAAGTCTCTGTTTTGAATTATATTATACTTCATAGAAATTACATTATCATTAATAATATCAAATATTATAACTAATATTACAGTTTATTACCAGTGTTACAAATTAAGATTTTCATGTGAGAAATTAAACCATTAGTATGTTGTAAAATATTATTATAAATTATTGCCAATATTACACATTAAGATTACTAATATAAATTACAAGTAACTATCTGATAGTTTCTAATAGAAATCATCATTAATATGGTTAACACTCCAGTTTATATTAGGAATATTTACTGATATTAAAGTAACAATTACTAATATAAATTGTGAGTGCCACAGTTATGGATCAGATTTTCATCACACATAGAAATTGAATCACCATTACTGATGCCATCAAATTTTACAACGAATTTTGCAAACTTTTAGCAGCATTATAAATTATGTTTGCTTATGCAAATAATTATCACCACTTTTGTGAATTAAATTTACAGTTAAATATCAATATTGACCCAACATTGGTTAAATAACCAACTTGGCTAAATAAACATTGGATTTACTATTTAAAATTCTTATTGGTATTACAAATTATGGTTACTGATATAAGTTAACAGTGTTATGAATTAAGTTTACTTACAGATGAAAATCAAATCATTAGTTGTCAGGAAACCCAATTCGTTTGTCATTATTATTATTCCACATTCTTTGAGAGACAGGATAGCTGACTGTGGGTGAGAGCATGGAGTCTAGCCAGAATTTCTATATTGGAATCCTAGATCTACAACTTACTAGCTTCCTAACATAGGAAATATTACTTAATGCTCTGTGCCTCAGTTTACCCATCTGCAAAATGTGGGTAATAATAGTTCCTGCCTCACAGAGTTGGCGTGAGAATTAAAATAGTTAGAACTGAGGCGCCTGGGTGGCGCAGTCGGTTAAGCGTCCGACTTCAGCCAAGTCACATCTCGCGGTCCGTGAGTTCGAGCCCCGCGTCAGGCTCTGGGCTGATGGCTCGGAGCCTGGAGCCTGTTTCCGATTCTGTGTCTCCCTCTCTCTCTGCCCCTCCCCCGTTCATGCTCTGTCTCTCTCTGTCCCAAAAATAAATAAAAACGTTGAAAAAAAAATTAAAAAAAAAATAGTTAGAACAGTGCATCTGGGGGCACTTGGGTGGCTCAGTCGGTTAAGCACTCGACTTCGGCTCAAGTCATGATCTTGTGGTCCAGGAGTTCAAACCCCACTGCCTGCTGAAGCCTGCTTCGGATTCTGTGTCTCCCTCTCTCTCTGCCCTTCCCCTGCTCACACTCTGTCCCTCTCCCTCTCTCTCTCAAAAATAAATAAACATTAAAAATTTTTTTAAAAAGAACAGTGCATCTGGTGTATATTAACTGCTACCTAAGTGTTGACAAAGTTCCCTCCTATTCTTAGTTTGTTGAGTGTTTTTATCATGAAAGGATGTTGAACTTTCTCAAATGTCTTTTCTCCATTTATTGATATGATCATGTAGGTTTTTTTTCCCCTTTTTTCTATGAATATGGTGTATTACATGACTAGAGTTCCGTGCAAGTTGAGCCACATTTGCATACCTGGACCAAATCTCACTTGGTCTGGTGTATAATCCTTTTTAGGATTCAGTTTGTTAGTATGTTATTGAGAATTATGATATCTGTAATCATAAAGGATATTGATCCGTAGTTTTCTTATGACATCTTTGTCTGGTTTGGGCATCAGGGTAATAGTAGCCTCACAGAATGAGATGGACAGTGTTCCCTTTTCTTCTATTTCGGGGAAGAGCTGTGAAAGATTGGTGTTAATTCTTTTTAAATATTTGTAGAATGCACCGGTGAAGACATCTAGTCCTGGGCATTTCTTTGTAAGCAGTTTCTTTATTACTCATTCAATCTCTTCATTTCTTATAGCATTATTCAGATTTTTCAGTTCCTCTTTAGTTTTGGTAGTTTGTGCCTTTCTAGGAATTTGTCCTCTTCATCTAGATTTTCTAATTTGTTGGCATATAATTATTCATAGTACTCTCTTCAAATTATTTTCATTTCTGTAAGGTTAGTAGTTATGTCCCTCTTTCATTCCTTATTTTTTTAAGTTTATTTAGTTATTTTGAGGAGTGGGGAGGGGCAGAGAGAGAGAGAAGGAGAGAGAGAATCCCAAGCAGGCTCCACCCTGTCAGCACAGAGCGTGATGTGGGGCTCAATCCCACGAACCATGAGATCATGCCCTGAGCCGACATCCAGAGTTGGATACTTAACCAGCTGAGCTACCCGGGAGGCGCCCCTCATTCCTTATTTAATAGTTTTCTCTCTTGTCCTTCTTAATCTAAAGGTTTGTCAGTTTTGTTGATCTTTTCAAAGAATCAGATTTTGGTTTCTGTATGGTTTTTCTCTTCTCTATTTCAATTTATTTCCACTGTAATCCTTATTACTTATTTTTTATTGAAGTATAATTAACATAATGTTATATTAGTTTCAGGTGTACAATATAATGATTCAACAATTCTATACCTTTCTCAGTACTCATCAAGATAAGTGTACTCTTAATCCCCTTTATCCATTTTACCCATTCCCCCACCCACCTCCCCTCTGGCAACTTACCAGTTTGTTCTCTATATTTAAGAGTCTAAGGGAGTTTTTTAGGAGCACCTGGGTGGCTCAGTCGGTCGAACACCCAACTCTTGGTTTTGGCTCAGGTCATGCTCTCACTGCTGGTGAGTTCAAGCCCCACATGGGGCTCCACGCTGGCAGTGCAGAGCCTGCTTGGGATTCTCTCTCTCACCCTCTCTCTCTGGCCCTCCCCTGCTTTCTCTCTCAAAATAAATAAACTTAAAAAAAATCAAAAAGAGCCTAGGTCTTTTTGTCTCTTTTATTCTTTGTGTTGTTTTTTTAAATCCCACATATGAGTGAAATCATATGCTATTTGTCTTTCTCTGACTTATTTCACTTGGCATGATACTCTCTAGCTCCATCCATGTTGTTGCCAATGGCAAGATTTCATTATTTTCTATAGCCAAGTAGTATTCCATTGTGTATATATCCCACATCTTTATCCATTCATCAGTCGATGGGCACTTGGGTTGCTTCTATATCTTGGTAGTGTAAATAATGGTACAATAAACATAGGGATGCGTATATCTTTTTGAATTAGCATTTTCATTTTCTTTGGGTAAATACCCAGTAATGGAATTACTGGATCACATGATAATTCTGCTTTTAATTTTTTGAAGAGCCTCCATACTGTTTTCAACAGTGGCTGCATCAATTTGCATTCCCACCGACAGTGCTTGAGGGTTTCTTTCTCTCCGTATCCTTGCCAACAATTGTTATTTCTTGTGTTTTTGATTTTAGCCATCTGACAGGTGTAGGGTGATACCTCATTCTGGCTTTAATTTGCATTTCCCTGATGATTAGTAATGTTGAGCATCTTTTCATGTGTCTGTTGGCCATCTGGATGTCTTCTTTGGAAAAATGTCTATTCAGGTCCTCTGCCGACTCTTAATTGGATTATTTGTGGGCTTTTTGGTGTTGAGTTGTATAAGTCCTTTACATATTTTGGACATAAACCCCTTATCAGATTAACCCCTACTCACTTGCAAATATCTTCTCCCATTCAGTAGGTTGCTTATTTGTTTAATTGGTGGTTCCTTTTGCTATGCAAAAGCTTTTCATTTTGGTGTAGTCCCAATAGTTTAATTTTGCTTTTGTTTCTCTTGCCCAAGGAGACATATCCAGAAAACTTTTTCTATGGCTGATGTCAAAGGAATTATTGCCAATGTTTGCTTCTAGGAATTTTATGGTTTCAGGTCTCACATTTAGGTCTTTAATCCATTCTGGGTTTATTTTTGTACATGGTCTAAAAAAGTGGTCCAGTTTCATTCTTTTGCATATAGCTGTCCAGTTTGGCCGGCACCATTTGTTGAAGAAATTGTCTTTTCCCTGTTGTATATTCTTGCCTCCTTTCTCACAGATTAATTCAT